GAGAGGGAAAGGAGACCAAGCACGTGAAGAAAGACAGAGTCAGTCTGAATTGCGTCAAGCTCTCGTTTATTGTTTGGGGCTTGAGGCTTAAATGCAGGGCTTCAGGCAGGGAGGGGGAGCAAGGGTTTCAGGCAGGGAGGGGGAGGAGGGGCTTCAGGCAAGGAGGGGGAGCAGGGGTTTCAGGCAGGGAGGGGGAGCAGGGGTAGAGAGGGGAGGAGAATGGAAATTTCTTGAGGTCGCTTTGGTCCCCGGCCTTGCAGGTGGCCGATAAGCACCCGTCCAAGAAGTTTATCTAAAGCACGTCTCATGGTTATGGCTAGAGCATCTTGTCTTTTTCAAGGCCTGCTGGAGCAAGAGAAAACTTATACAAAGTTCAAGACACAGTTTGCCCAGTTGCCCAAGGTTGGTCTCCAACAAATCCCCCTCTTTCTTAAAATAAAATGGACGGAATCCATATAGTCGGTGTTCGGGGGTGGTCCGAGAGGACCCCTGTCTTAAGCTATACAGGAGGACTCCCACGTGGGCCCTGTACTATTCCCGTCATTGAGTACCCTCTAGCAAGACCATGGGGACGTTAGGGCCTTAGGACACTGAATCTGAGTCCTTGATGGGGCTCCTGGCTGGCCTCCTCGGAATCTATCCTGTGATAATGAATTGAGACGTCTCGTGGTAAAGCCGAATCAATCTGATTTTTGATAAACCGAGTCAACCGCTGAAAGGCCCAGGGACCAAAGGTAATGAGAAGGAGAAAAACAATCAAGGGGGCTAGAATGGTAGGTAGCAATGTGGAGAGCCAGGGGGACCCTTGCAGCCAACTTTCAAACCACCCGTGCTGATTTTCAAATTCCCTTTTTCTTTGAGCTAGCCTTTCCCTTAATTTTTCCATCGATTCCCTGACAATACCAGTATGGTCTGCATAAAAGCAGCATTCTTCCTTCAAGGCGGACATAGGCCCCCTTCTTTCAGGAACAACAGATCCAGGCCCCTTCTATTTTGCAGCACTACTTCTGACAGTGAGGTAAGTGATTTCTCAAGGGCAGAAATAGATCTTTCTATTTCCTCCAGATCGGTGGTAATGGCCATCTGTAACTGCATCAAGTGATTATTTTGTACAAGGGCGGTGGTTCCTGTACCAATTCCTGTTGAGATGCCTCCAACACCCAACAAGAGGGCTATAGTCAATGACACAGGTTCTCGAGTGTATCTACTCCTTTTCTCGAAGAATTCCATAATCGGGCTTTCTTCATGATAGGTGACACGAGGCCACAACTGAACCAATACACAGAATTCATGGGAACCATTAAATATCTGAGCAGACACGCAGGGGGTTAACCCGGTGTTGCAGGCCCAGTAGGACCCATTAGGTGCCTCAAGATAATATCCTCCTTTATAAGGTGTAGAGGTGTCGTTACAGAGATGCCTATAGGTCGGTGGGACTTTGCCTAAACAGGAGCCTTGTCCAGAAACCTCAGAGAGTGTTGGTTAGTTTATGAGGCTTAGTCTGACACCTACTGCTCGGGGAAGTGAGGTTGCTGGCTGCAGACTGAAAGGCAATTCCCTCCTAGTAAGGAGGGCTGGATGTAAGGCAAAGCCAGCAATTCAAGGTCTTATCTGGGTTTGTGGCATTTAGAGCCGTATATGCTCCCTGCACTAAACTGAACAATCTGTTGCCTGTATATTGCGTGATAACAGGAGACATGCTACGCACGGGGGGAGTGGAAGTGCTACTAGGTGTGGGTCCCGGTGTGATTGCTCCTTTGGCTGGGACTGGGATTCTGCCCGAGAATCCGGGGAGGACCCGACTGGGTCCAATAGGTGTGGCGTGGGTATTTTTTATTTTTAATTGTATTTTGAATGTAACCCCTGCATCCCAGCCATCTAAATACCAGCGAAGGCCCCATGTCCTTCCCGCGGGCCAGACTGTGAAGTCCTTGCCTTTTGGAGTGAATGAAATATTTAATGGCAAGGACTTGCCATACTGTGGTTGTAGTTCCTTTTGAGTAGCATGGCATTGGCCCCTTTTTACATAGCCCCGGGAAACCGTTATAAGGTCCCATGAGGAGGAAGGCTTCCAGTAAGCTGCCCCAGTAGTCTCGCAGGACCAGGCTTTG